AGCAGTATCATGTAAGTCATGTTGTGTCCTGAACGGATCAAAGATGGAGATAGAAAGTGCTAGAAAAGCTGGGATTGTGACTTCCACACTTACAGAGAATTTGTGATATATGAAGTGTTTTTCTTTTGTTTTTTTACAAAACAGCAGAACCATCCAAACCCAGGGAAACCTTATTGTGGAATTGTTCGGAAGGCATATTTGCCTGACAATGAGGAAGGGGTGGAAGTTCTGCAGCTCCTCAGAAGAGCCTTTAACCAAAAACTGATTTTCACAGTGGGGAATTCACGTACTACTGGTGCAGAAGATGTTATCACATGGAATGATATTCACCACAAAACCTCCATGTATGGTGGACCTATGAAGTAAGTAGTCTTCTTATTCAGTTATTATACAGTCGTCAGTGGTAGCAGGAAGGCTTCCCTGTATATTTTCCACATTAGACCTTTCAGATTGCCAATGGCACTGCAAGCCACTAGCAAATCTTATCGGTTGTGTATTATTACTTACACAGTGATTGTGGAAGGTACTGTGGATCCAGACTTGAGCCATTTTCATAGCCTTTATAATGGTTTGTCAATGATTTACAGCTCAGTTCTGTGACTAATTGGGGTGGGGGACCCACAGACCCACGCCCCAGGAGAAGGGGAAAGGGAAGAAGGGGAAAAGGTATGAAGATGGGTCTGAAAACAAAACAGTGGCAACGAGCTAAGGGAAAAAACTAATTTACTGAATATGATAGCAGAATGCAAGATAACACAATAATACAATATAATTGGAATTGAGGTTAATAAATCAAATAAAATGAGGGAGTGTCCAAAACCGAAGGCTTTACTGTAATGCTGAAGGCAAGATGGCTAAGGGAGCACACACTGCAGAGAAGAGCAGTAACAGACGTCCTGTGACTTGTGGGCAGTTTTACCTTTCCCTCTCAATGGAAAAAGGAACAGTGAAAGGCTTCTGGGAGATGTAATTCTTCTCTTCTGAGAACCAAGTGCCCAGAAATACCAACAGTCCATGGAACTGGAGCATTAGCTCCCAGTGCTCTACGTGATGTTACAGCATGGAATACTGATAACAAAAAATCATAAAACCGTGATGTGCTTCTAGTTTAGTTTAATTCTGTTGCTTATAAAAACAGGAGTTGGAGCACAGCTGTCTGTTGAACCTGGCAGTGGTGAGAAAGCACAGGAACAAATTATCTCTGGAAGGAAAATAGATATAACAATCCTGTGTCCCTCAAGCATGTCTCAGAAAGAACCATTCCTTGATGGTACTTTCTGCCTTTAAGTCTTCCTGTCTTAACCATTTCCTTGGAGAGAAATATTGACAGTGTAGGATTTGGTGCTTTTATGTGTACAACAGTGAACATTTTGGTTAAATATTGGTTCATTGTGTAGTAATACACAAACCTGTGTGTCAAAACTGGTCGTGTTTTAGTACTGAGAGCATAAATATGTTGCTTTCACATCTCAGGCTCCAGCCTGGAGATGAGAGGGAGTCTTGGAACAGTCTCTTCAGGTTTGTCACAGCCTCTCAGAGCCAGGTGTTTTCATGCAAGATCTAAAGGTTTGTGCTTGGAGTTACATTCTCCCTCCTGGGTGAGGATCATTAAAGAACAATGAGTTTTGCTTTATCTGCTCATTGCTCTCTTCCTTCTTATCACTTGCTTCATACACACTTTTGCTGATAAGCCATCTGAAAAACAGAGGTGCCATTATGCTTGCCTTTTGAAGGCTTACCTGGAGACCCCTTCTGTTAAAATCTGTTTTTAAGAAAGGTGCATACCAAAATGCCCAGTCATTTGCTAGCGAGACAGCTGGCAGCTTAGAAAATGAGGTTCCTAGTGCCAGCTTGGGCAGCCGAATTCAGCAGCTGTTTTGTCTTTAGTAAGTTTTTAGCTTTACCCTTTCTGTGCCATTTATCTCGCCTGTAACATGGAGTCTGTCTTCTTTACAGTGAGAAGCACATGCATAAAACTTGTGAATTATTTTAAGACATTCTGATGAGCAAGTCTTGTAGAACTGCCCCACTGTACAAGTAGCCTAAATTATTCTTTTCTTCTTCTAGCTTTGGTTACCCTGACCCTGATTATCTGAAGAGGGTTCGATCGGAACTGAAAGCAAGAGGAATTGAGTAAGGAAATGTACCAGCTGTCAACTCTGAAGTGTGATAACTCAACATGCAGCAGTTCTTTTATTTTTCTGGCACTACAAAGAGAGAAGTTGATCTGTTCAACTGCTACACTTAAGTTACTTGTATTTCCCTGTGAGCTAAGAAAAGTAATCTTTTCTGGTCAAACTATGTTCATTCCCTTTGCACTACTTGCTTCTGTGAACGCTTCCCTATATACTTCCTTCCTTACAGAATTTGGGACCTGTGAGTCCAGCATCTGTACTTACACTCATCAGACAGCAGATTGTGTGTTGTCTTCTCATTTTACCAGCGAATCTGATCTGCTGTTTTTCCCACAAGCCTTCAGCCTGTGTGCTGGAGGATTTTTATGTGTGTGATGCAATATCAGCTGTATATGGCCATCATCTTTTGCTGCTTTTTCTTTCCAGGGAAGAAATGGCATAAGTGGTGTGGAACTGAGAATGGTGTGTGATAGGCTTTGTGGTTGCTGCTGTGTTGTTAACTGTGTCCAGAAATGCTGAGTACTTGGAGAGCCTCCTTGGGACAAAAGGAAAGTGACAGCGCTTATGGCCACCTCTGGTAATGAGGTTCTGACTTTGTGCCTCTTGTTGTATTTAAGCTTAAATATCGCTTTTAAGTCAGCTTTGCCTGTAACAACACTGTTCTTCCCATTGCTTCCAGGTTTAAATTCTGTAATAAAAATATAATGCTATTATTGTTGCTGTTTGAGTAGGCTGCCAATTGCCTTTGTGCTTGTGGAAGACAGATTTTACCTGATGTAGCTGTAGTTTTTAATGAATCTAACTAGGCCATTGTGTATAATAAATAAAATTGCCACCTGCTCACGGTTGCATTCTTCAGTAGAATATATCCCTCCTGTTTTAGAGGCATTTTGTTCTGTAAGTTTTTATTTATTTATTTATTTAGGAGCTTCCTAGCAAACAAAGTGATTTGGACCTCCGTTTTTTCTGTGGCTGAGAGCCAGCAGAGGAGGAATAGTGCTCTCAGAGAAAGCTGCCAGAATCAGTCAGTTGGGCTGTGTTCAGCACCACTGAATTGGGCGAAGAACATTCAGAAATGGAGCAGTCAGATTTGAAACAGATCCCCGAATGTTCTCCTTGGGGATGCATTTTAAAACACTGGAAAGCATCTGGAGGAGGTCTGCTTGTGTATAGAAAATTGAGTACTGTAATCATTGGTGGATGGCGTATAGGCTTGAAGATGAGGAAAAACAGCCCACTCATGGGTTGATTAATGATAACACAGCGTTGCAGTTGATGCTATTCTGTACAAGGGAAGGGAAATGGGACGAGGTGCCCTACATGGATTTATTCTTTGAATTAAGAAATTACATGAAGGCTCTCAAGGGTTGTGGGTTACTTTCAAGAGGCCCTTCAGCAGCAGCCTGGGAGAAGGAGCAGCCGAGGGCTCTGAGGAAACGCTGTTCTGCACGTAGTGTTGGGGAAACGTGTATTAACGGGCACCCAGCGAAGAGTTGGAATTGCTGCTAAGTCCATCCAGAGTAACTTCGAGGGAAATGGAGGGGAGGTGTCAGCAGCCGAGAGGCCGAGGACGGGTCGGGGAAATGCGCCATCGTGCGGGGAGGCGGAGGAACTGCGCCTCCAGCGGCGCTGAAATGCAATACCCCAAAAGCTGGACGTCTGGACAACGCTAAACATGTGGAAGTTATACCAAGCAGAACGAGGTAAAGACGGAACCCCTCTGCATTTTTCGATGGATTGATAACCGTAGCTAGAAAACATACTGATTTGGATCCAGAAGCAGAGGGGGGTGCTATGCAATTGGCATGAATTTTTATTAGTCATATTAAGCAAAAATTACATTAAAAGGAGGGGGAGGACTATCCATAAATAAACTACTAGAAGCTGCCTGGAAGGTGCGTCACAACAGAGAGAAGGTGGAGAAGGCTAAGGAAAGGAAGGAGAAAGGAAGTTGCTAGTGGGGCCATAGCACAGAGGTCAAGGAAGGTGAGAAGGGATCAGTGTTTTAGGAGGCAGCCTGGACTTGGGGTGAGGAAGCCGGGTCCTCAATGTGTGTGTTTGGAATATGGATACTGGAAAACGGAGTGCCCAGAGCAGGCACTGCTAGGGCAGGGCACCCAGGGTCCTGAGCACGTCCTCACCCTACAGTTTAACTCGATGATTCAGAGTGAGAATTGGTGGGGATTGAGGGTTTAAAAATTGCCCAGCTATTTTTGGGAACCAATTAGCGAAAGAATTGGAGGCCTGGCAGGAGGAACACGAGGCAGTGACCCTCTTGGAGTAGTATGTGGGATCTGCATACTCCCTATGGACCGCAGTTTAACGGGAGGGTAGAGAGGAATAATCAGAGTTTGAAAATGCACTTGACACCCCTTGTCTTACTGTAAGGGCAAAGATGTCATTAGGAAGGGTTCTATCTTCTCACTGCAGGTTTGGACAACACACAGAGCTATGCAAATGGCCGGGGTGGAATTGTGGATTCCTTACACAAGGGTAAAGAAGGCACCTAGCTCACAGAGGCAAGTGGAACAGCCCACACTGCTGAGGCTTACACGCAGATGAACATGCTTTGCCACCGAATGATGGGAATCAAGATTACCTTTCTTTAGTTTGTGATCTTGTCTTTGAATATAATCGCTTGTTGGAAATCTGGATTGTGATTGTAAATATGTGTGACAATATCCATTAGCAGGGCTCCCTATTTCCTCCGGGATGCCTCCGGGAATAAAGTGTGAGGAAACCCCGCTGATAGACGACGCTGGGGTTGTCTACTAAAAATAAGGTCCAAAAAAACAAAATTTGCTTGAGTGTCGGGATGAAACCCGCGGGATGGGCGGAGCGGGGCGGTTCCGCTCTGCCCGGCGGAGAAACGAAAGCGAAAGAGGCGCAGCGGAGGGGCAGCGCAGCCATGGCGGGGCCGCGGCCGGGCTCCTTCCCGCTGCTGGTGCGCGGCGACTGGGGCACCGCGGAGCCGCCGGCCGCGCTGCGCAAGAAGCTGCTGCTTTACTTCCAGAGCCCGAAGCGCTCGGGCGGCGGGGAGTGCGAGCTGCGGTGCGGACCCGGGCAGCTGCTCGTCTGCTTCGCTCAACCCGACGGTGAGCCAGGGCGGAAGGGGGGGCTGTGGCCGCAGCGATGCCGGCCGTGTGGCGGCAGCCCCCCACTGACGGGTGCGTGCGGTGTCCGCAGTGATGCGCCGGGTGCTGGACCGGCCGGCGCACGAACTCGAGTGGGGGCCTCGCGGGAAGCTGTCGCTGCTCGTCACCGCGCCGCCGCAGGAGGGCGCCCGTTCCCCGCAGCAGCCGCCCGCTCAGCCCGAGGCGCCAGGTAAGCGGCGGGGCGGGGGTCCCTCGGAGCTGCGTGACGGAACTCTCGCCGCCACCCCCTCCTTCCTGCCGGGGCTTCGCGAGCTCCTGCAGCCGCGTGGTTGGAAAAAAGGCAAAATATTTCAGCCTGTGACTTTGCCTGCGTGAAATAAAGCGAAATTCACGCCGTGCTAGCTCTGGAGTACGCGCCCTGGGCTTTGTCTTCGTCACTTACGCAGCGGCTGAGAGTGCACTGTCGTTTATCTGCAGCTGACGAACCCGTGCCGTCTGTACCCACTCTCGCGGAGCACGATGCCGCCGCGGCCGCAGGAACGGGGCTGTCCCCGCAGCGCCCACCGCCCCAGGAAGCGCCTCCGGAGGTGCACGGTGAGTGCTAAGGATGCCCCTACAAGGACCTTCCCAGCTGCCACCAGCAGCACCTCCTCCGCGGGGCAGCTTAAGGACTCTGTCTCACCTTGGTTTGTTATTTAGGGGAGGCTGAGCCACGTAGATCGCAGAGTTGCTTTCATCCTGACACAAACTTTTGATGTAATTTTGCCTCATTTGTGTTTCTTCTTCCATATGAGGAAAATATCTCATGTTAAAGTTTCCCACCCAGGGTGGGAAGAAGGGGAAAATGGCATTTTTCTTGTTTGTTTCTACACAGAGCTAGGTGCCCAAGAAGCCTTGCAATGGGAGCGTCCATCAGCTGAGAGAACCAAGCTGGCTGTGAAGTCTGGTGAGATGGAGACTGCCCCAGAGCCGTGCCAAATGGAAAGCTCTGAAGTATCCCTTTCTCCCCCCTTAATTGTGCTTGAAAATGTGCGGGAAACCATAAGCAGTTATATGTTAACCATGCTGGTGGAGAACATCAGTGACTTGTCAGAGGAAGATGGGGACTTCAGTGTGGAAATGATACCCGAACTGCGGGCTGCTGTTGTTGCTTTTACTGGAAATGCTGGTAAGGAGGAATCTGGATTAATTAGGAGTTTTTCTTCCCTTGCTGCTTTTGTTTTCGTGGGAGGAAGTCCAAGTGAGAAGTGAACAATGTGTCCTCTCGTGGGTTTAAGGAAAAGTCTCATATTATTATAGATCCAGCCCTCATTTCAAAGGCTGCAATCAATGAGGTCTTTTATCTGTAAGGTATAAAGGCCAGTGAAAATCAAAATAATGAATAGAATATGGGTGGGGCTGAAAGTCAGCTGTGTACAAGCCATTAGAGGATACGGTGGGTCATAGAACAGAACAGTGATAAAGGTTCTACTTGCCATGTGTGTAATAAGTTTGCATGGATTAGAGGGAAAACTGAACTGGTTAGGACAGAACCTTCTAAGGTGATTAAACACCACATCAGGCCTGGGGAACCTACTGTACTAAAAATTGGTTGAAGGTTCGGAGAGAATTAGGGAAGCAGTTGCATCTTAAAGCTGTTCCCCAGATGCCTGCTGTGGAATTAATACCACATACTCACCTGATGCTGCAACACCAACTAGTTGTGGAGCAACTGCGTGCTCATTGTGATTTCTTATTGTGGATTTGTTTTCTTTTTTCTGCTTTATTGGTGATCGATGACACAGGCATCATCCAGGTGATAGAGGGATTTGTCTGCTTCAGCTTCTCACCAATGAGAAGCTGAGGAGGTGTCCTGGTTCCTGCCAAGACTTATGGGTGATGTTATTAATATGGGCTTCAGTAAGTGGTACAGCAAGACTCAGAAAAGCTGTAAGCCAGCACCATGGCTGATGATGATGTGGAGGAAACAGAGCTTTGTTTTCAGAAGAAACTGATTAAATTGACAGCAGGAAACTGATTGCATCTGTGACCGATGCTCTGCTTCAGCCCTTAGAGGAACACAGTGATTTGGGTTGAGGAGAGGTGAGGGTGGAAAGAAAGAAAGAAAGAACATTTTTCTGTGGAGGAAAAACTGAATGTCTCTTTAGAAGGTAGGATGTGATGAAAAGAAATGATAGGCGAGTCTAAATCAATTTTGTGGGAATAACTGTAGTACTAGTAACACGTAAGAATGGAGTTGCTCTGAAATCTTGAAATTATCAAAGAATTAGTCAGTGGCATAACCAACCAAATAAGCTTTTCATCTTTGAGAAGCTCATAAAGTTTTCTGTTTTAGAAGATGGAAAGGATTTGCCTGTTTTCCTGGCGCAGTCCCAAATTTCTGGTGTAGCCCTGAGGAGGAAATATGTGGATCCTTTAAATGCTTAGATGCGTGTTTGCCTGAAGGCTAGAAGTGGCTAGCCTTGTTTTTAGCATTATGATAACAGGGTGGGAAATAGCAAAAACATAGAATGAATTTATCATAAAACTAAAAGAACCCATATTTAAACCTAACTTCCTTCTGACTGTGTATTAATGAATCTGTATTTTATTTTCTTATGGGGTTGAAGAGATCAAGTGCTACTGAACAAAGTCTGAGAGAACTTCTGGCTGTGGCAGATGTGCCTCAGTAATTGTGACCAACCATTTGGTGACTGATAGATAACAAAAACTGTTATCCATCCACACGCTGGATGTGTGGCAAGATGTAGCTGTATGGGCACCACTGTGTTGACAGATGGCTTGTAATACAGTGACAGCCCATTTATATCATAGCAGAGAATGAGCTGCTGATTCAATCTTGAGTTGGTTTTTCCTTTGTTTCTCTTTCTAGCTACAGCGGACATTGTTAAGAAGCTAAATCGAAGCGAAAGAGCAAATAAGCAAAACTTAAGTGCACGTCTCCTCGAGTTAACAAACTGTATTAGAGCTGAAAATATACCACCTAACACACCCAATGACTATATATCTATCTACTTTGAGAACAAGAAGAATGGAGGTGCGCAAGTGGTGGATGTTCTTCAACTGTGTGATGAAGGTGCAGCTATCATTACGTTCAAGAACCATCAAGGTAATGCAGAGATGTGCAGCCCTTATTTTTTGTGGTCCTTTCACCAAAAGACACAAGTGTGAGTTTTCTGAAGAAATGTCTGTTTTGCTCTGATGGACCAGCATAGAGGAGCTGTGACTTGATAAAACTGAGTAGTAGCCCAGGCAACTGAGTTAGGCAGTTTGAGTAGAGTACAACAGGGATGGGGACAGAGGCAGTGCTGTGCTGTACATATTTTATCCTGGAGGTAGGCAGTCTTAGTTCTTAGCTGCTTCTTCCTAATTTAGCTTTTGGCAATTGAAACTAGTAACTCTTCAGTAATTTGGAGTTACTGCTGTTTGAAAAGGGGGGAGGATTCACGTAAAACTCTTCTTGTATGTAAACATTATAGTAAGCAAATATTTTTAAAGATCTTTGGGTTTACATGTTGGCAATAATAATGTTTTGTTTGTTATAGATGTAAACAATGTCTTGTCAAAGCAGCACTCTCTCAACAAAAGACCGATATCTGTCTATCCTTACTATGTCTCACTGGGAACAGCTCTATATGGAAAGGAAGGGCCACAAATAAAGAAACCAGATCCAGTTACACTGCCGCTGGACCCCTTTATCTGGCAGTTCTTACGGAAAAAGAATAGCCTCATCGAAGCGATATGTTCTGAGATGGCAAATTGTCATTGTGAGATAACATGGCCTAAAGGCAACTGTGCAGAGCCAAAAGTTATTCTGCATCCTTCAGCTGCTTTGTCCGAGAGGAAGAGATCAGTGGCTCAATTGATCAGGACATGGAATGCAGTGGCTTCCACAACATTTTCATATAGCATATCACAGTACAAAGTAGAGAAGCTTAAAGTAAGTGCAGAGGTGTGGGAAGTCATTAGAACCAGCATTAACCACAATGAACGTTTGATGATCTCATTTCTTCCGAAGGATTTACTTGTTGTAGTAGGCCACAAAGACATTCTGAAGAATGTTGTCCGAGAACTGAATTTGCAGATAGAAAAAGTCACCAGAGAAATTGAAAGAGAAAAGCAAACGACTGAAGAAATAGTGATTCTGAGTCCAGGGGATTTTGCAATTTTGCAGAACGTTGGTCTTGAAGAAAGAATTTGCATGGAATTCCCAACTCTGAAGCTAACTTACGATCCTGTGCAGAAGATAATTAACCTATATGGACTGCGTGAGGAAGTTTATAAAGTGAAAGGGGAGATATTGGTTAATATGCAAAAAATGACAAAGAAAACCGTTACTCTCCACCCTTTTGTGTTCCAGTTTTTACAAAGTATTGATAATGAAACCCTGTCACAGAGCCTGTTTTTGTCAAAACACATTAGTGCCTTTTATGAGCTTGGCCCAGATGCTGTCCTCCTGAAAGGAAATGATGGCGAAACTCTCCTGAAAGCAGAAGAAGAGCTAAAGAAGGAACTGGACTACAAAAGCATTACTTTAGAAGATGAGTCCATCCTCCAGAAGGAGGAATGGAGAGTGCTTACTGAGGAGAACTGCTGTAATGGAGCTGTAACAGTCACTCAGAAAGAGGCTGAGATCATTGTTGCTGGTTTTTCTCAAGCAGTAGCAAAAGCTTTTGAAGAACTTTTTAACTTTGTAGATGAGAACACGCAAGTACAGAAAGTCATTGGAGGAAAGCCCACCGTAGTCCTAATGTACATCGAGAAAGAGAGGGCCTCTGTCTTGGATGACTTAAAGAATAAAGGTGTGAAAATTGACTTTAGTAAAGTTATATCCTTGAGCGGACCGAGAAGAGAGGTGCTGAAGGGAACTACCCTAATTGAGCAAATGCTGTCCGGGCTGCATTACAAGCGTGTGGTAATTAGCGAGCCAGGAGCCAGGTCGTATTTCAAAGAAAGAGAACGCTTTTTTGCTGCCAGTGTGAAACATGAGTGTAACTGTCTAATCAGACTGGAAGAGCAGCCAGAAGAGTATCCAGAAGAGCAACAAGTACACAGTAACGTAGGCAAGCGCTATACACAGATGACCGTGCAAGGAGTTCTACTAGCGGTTTATAAAGCCGACTTGTGCACTCATCACGTTGATGTTGTGGTGAATGCATCAAATGAAGACTTGAAACACATTGGTGGCCTCGCTTGGGCACTGCTCCAAGCAGCTGGTCCAGAGCTGCAGGCTGAGTGTGATGAGGTGGTGAGGAAGAGCGGGAGTCTGCAGGCTGGGTGTGCCGTGATCACGGGAGCGGGGAAGCTCCCCTGCAAACAGGTCATCCATGCTGTTGGGCCCCGGTGGAAGGAGCAGGATGCAGGAAAGTGTATGTACTTGTTAAAAAAGACCATTAAAATGAGCCTGCAGCTGGCTGAAACATACAATCATCGCTCCATTGCTTTCCCTTCTGTAAGCGGAGGGATTTTTGGCTTCCCGCTGCACAAGTGTGTAAATGCAATTGTGTCAGCCATCAAGAAAACCCTGGAAGACTTCAACGGGAAAAGCAGCTTGAAGGAGATTCATCTTGTGGATGTCATAGAGGACAACGTTCAGGCTTTCATCAAGGCACTGAAAGAAGAGTTTTCAGATGATGTACCTCTTAACAACCCGGTGCGATCTCTTAACAGTCAGACCAACATTGTTCATCAGCCTAGCAAAAGGACAGCTTCTCAAAGCAGCATGAACTTTGCAGTGGTAACAACTGAGGAAGGCCTTGACATCATGCTGAAAAAAGGAAACATTGAAGATGTCACAGTAAGTGTTTTGAGTGGCTGTTTGTCTGGGCTGAAGTGAAGCACGTTTTTTAAAATATGAAAAGGGGAAAAAACAGAAACAAAACTTTAAAAAGAAAATACAGCAAACAAAATCCCCTGTGTCCGTCATCTGGATGTCCTGATTGCAAGAATGCAGCCAAAATACGGCACTTGTGCAGAGACAAAAGCAGGTACCCAGTGGCAATTAATGAGTGTCCTGCCACAGGAGAGCAGCTTGGCTGCTCTTGGACCCACCATGTCCCGTAGCAGCACAGCTGATCCATGCCTGTACTGCTGAGTCCTTGGCCCAAAGCTGCCCGGCTCGCCCTGTGCCTGTAAGGTACTGACCTGGGCAATGGGGAATGCACAATTTTAACTTTTTTTAAGGTTGAAATTTATTCCTCTATTAACTCAGCTTCTATACTGCTTCAAGCAGGCTCATGGTACTAGAACAAAGAATATGACTTCTCTGTTTTATTCCAAAGCCTTGTTAACTGTTTATGGTTGGACTGGATGATCTTATAGGTCTTTTCCAACCTTAGTGATTCTGTGATTCTCTGATTCTGTAACTCCAATTGCTGCCCTAGAACTTTACTTGCAAATCAGCAGATAGGCTCTATTTGATGAATCGATGCAAACCTTCTTTACTTAAAGCTGAAGTCCTTGCTTGTGTGTTTTTCAGACAGATGGTGTTGTCATCAGTGTTGGTGGAGATCTGCAGCTTGAGAAAGGACAACTCGCCAAAGCTTTGCTAAGCAAGGCAGGGCCAAGGCTTCAGGCAGACTTAAATGACGAAGGCCTGGGGAAGTCACCTGGTGAAGGATCTGTGTTCACAACAAAAGGTTACAATCTGAGCTGCAGTTATGTGTTTCATGCTGTCACACCTAGATGGTCAGAGGGAGGTGAATCTTCAGTGAAGGTACAAGAGTTTTTATTTACTTAAACTCTTAATTTGAATGGGCTTTATAGAAAATTTAATGCAACTTCTTGGAAATGAGGGAGGCTATCTTAGGATATGAGTGAGTTTGGGCTATTTATTTAGCTGTGTTGCTCGCACCTTGTTGACTATCATATTCTTTCTGATGTGCATAATTCCATGCTAAGAGATAGTACTTTCCCTTTTAGCTGAATTGCATGTTCCAGAAAAACTAACTTTCAGTAATGGAAAAAAATACTTTCTGTGCTTTACAGATCTTGAGCAGGATCGTCACAAAATGCCTGCAGTCTGCTGAGGAACTATCTTTAAAGTCCATTACTTTCCCAGCGATTGGAACAGGGATCTTAGGGTTCCCAGGTTCTGTTGTTGCTAAATTGCTGTTTGACAAGGTGTATGAATACAGTAGTAAAAAGAAAACCAATTCTCTTCGGGAAGTTCACTTTCTGTTGCATCCAAAAGACATAAATATTCTTCAGGTGAGTTACCGTGCTTTTCTCTCTTAGTTACATGCTATTCTGTTTGGACCTATCTCGTGGTATGTGGCTATGTATTGCTCTCCAGAGAATCTGCAGGCTGCTTGTTATCATATAAAGCATAGAGCAGTCTCTTTTGCACATAGCTTGTCCTGTACAGCCCTGCTTGCTTCCTGTCCTTTTCTATTCCCTGGCAATAATGCAGATGAAAGTTTAATTACTCTTTTAGTTTATGAACTTGCTTGATTCTTCAATATGTAGGGCTCACCTACAGTCAGACTTGCTGCAATTTCAACATAGATGTCTTTGCTCTTAGAAAAGGAATACTTTTCGTGGGTTTAGATGAAGTCTAAGAAGAATAATTATGTTAGGATGCTGGTAAAATTCTCCAGTGGAAAACAAACCAGTGTTCTGCATCCCACTTTTTTCAGTGTCACTTTAGAACAGGTTTCTGTGCTTTTACTCAAGTTACTACAAGGATTGACTGTAGTTTCCTTTTCTAGGCATTTTCAAATGAATTTGAGAGACGGTGTGGCAATGATGTAGATGAGGCTAGCGAAGGCACGGGTAAGTTTATTTTACAGAGGCTATGCTCGTGGTGGTGTAGGGTTTTCTATTATTATTTTTATTATTATTATTATTAGCTTTTAAATTTTCCAGGTAGCATATTCATGATAGATACTTAGGTAAGTGGTAAACATGCTATTCCCAAAGTCCAAGTGCACGTTGTAAAGGCTGTATGTAGTATTTTCAGGATGGGCATAACGTCTGAAACAGTGCTGGAGATGCTAAGGGAAAAACATTCTTACGATTCATGATCTGGATGTAGCATCCACACAGTAAGGATAGCAGAAGGCAGAAGTGAGGTTCTTTTCTTTTCCTGCTGCAGTCTTCCCTTTTCATCTGGGAAGAACTAGTCAGTTCCTGGTTATGTGTCTTAACGGGGCCTCTTTGGAGTGCTCTCAAAGCTACATTCAGATCAACAGCAAAACCAACAGCAAAACCAACCTTCAGTGCTGTCCAGTCTAATGGGACTGCAGAGTGTGAAAAATGAGTATTTTCTGAAAACTCGATCAAGTTTTTAGAAATAATGCGTAGACAAAAAGTTGCTGTCGTGTGGTAGAGAACCTGCCCAAAAACTCCCTTTGAGACAGGAGCAAAGGAATGAAATTTCTATAGCAGGTATGTAGTAAACATGTTTGATTTTTCCTACTATTTCAGCATAAATAGCAATGATGGGAGTAAGTGAATGTTGGTCTGAGACTCCCATGAGAGGGAATGATTTTCAGTTACTGATGTGGGCAGTGTTCTCACAGGTAGAGTCCAGAGATGAAGTGTGGTCTCTGCAGACATTGTACCCATGAATGCTTCTCTGCTCAGTGTCTGTATTTCTGTCCTGCAGCTTTCTTTGGTCCCATTTCAAACCCAACACAGGATGTATATGAAATGACAATTGGCTCCATTAAGTTCCAGGTGGCCGCTGGTGATATTACCAAGGAAACTGGAGATGTCATTGTAAACATATCAAACAAAAGTTTCAATCTCAAAACAGGTATTTCAGTTGGCATTATGTGTGGATATAGTGTATGTGGTTGGGAGGACTGGATAAGGTGAGTGGGAAGCTTTCTTGATATTCTGAGCTACTGGATAATGTGTTTTAAGACTTGCAGAAAAGTGAAATTAATAACTTTAATTTTTCGATAGAATCTTTTCACAGATCATCTCTTAGATTAAAAAAGATGAATCTTATTGTGGTTTTTACCTCAGTGAAACTTTTTAGGTTTCTCAAGATGTCTTTTTTTGTCTTGAAAAGCATAAGCCTGAAATTTAAATTATACTATCTAATTATAACCTGTGCTTTTACTAAAAAAGAGAGTGTGGAATATCTGATTCTGCCTTAGGCAGGACTTCAATAGAATTAACAGTAGTAACCGTGGAATCATATTCTTCTTCTCATTTAAGGTGTCTCTAAAGCAATTTTGGAAGGTGCTGGGAAAGAGGTTGAAGATGAATGTGCTGCACTAGGTATGGTGCAACTTTTCTGTCCTTTCTGAAGGCTAGCTTGCATGACGGGGAGTTGGTTGGAGTTCTTTCTCAGTGCCTGCTGTACGCCTATCCGTCTTATGCACTGTGTTACATCAACTAGTCTTTAATCAGTTAATGTGATATATGTAAAACATCTAACAAGGAAAGGAAGAGGTATTTTCAAGACAAAAGAGCACCTAAACCTTTGTAAAGGACAAGATCTATCTATGATTGCATCCTCTAATTCCAGTAAAGCTTTTGAGTGATATTAGACAAGTCCACAGAGAAGACAGGTGTGAGTTGGGGTTGATGTTAGCAGAACTCTTAATAGAGAAGCTGTGTTTCATTGGGAGTAACTCTCTACCTGCAACTTCTTTTCTTATCCCTGAATTAAAAAATGTTTGCCGTTGTCTTCAGTAGCAACCTACTACTGTACCCTCTGCATGACTAAGAGGGAAAATCTTTGCATCTGGGTTCCTGCCTTAAAAGTGGCATTTGTAGACCAAATTGAGCTAGTGAATGGCAAATACAATGAATGGGGGAGTAAGGATGGAAAAGTATTTGGCTTAAAAGCCTGTTAGCAAGCTTCCCTTATTTTGGTAACAGAAGTGAGAAAGTCTCTGGTGTGGAGGTCAGCTCACAAGACCAACGAAAGGAAAGAATTATGTGGAGGAGATGAGCAGTCTCATGTGAAGACTGATTGTAGTACTTAGTCTGGATGAAGTTTTCTTCAGCTGCAGAGCAAACTTGGAAAAGGACGGCGTACAAAACTTTATTTGGCAAACAAGGCAAATAATTCATAATAATAAAATGAATCCCAGGAAGTAAAAATAAAGAGAAGGGGTATTTATCAGCATGGGGAAAGAGATTTGGAGCTTATCCTGGGATGTTCTTGTCATCGTTTATTATTTCCCAATGACAATTACTACATATATATGTTGTAAATAATTGTTGATTGTTTATTTACTCCCGCTTACATTTCAGCTTTGCAGCCTAATGATGGCTATATAACCACCAAAGCAGGAAGCTTGCCGTGCAAAAAAATAATCCATTTTGTTGCCCAAGATGATGTTAAAGTGCCAGTCTCCAAAGTGCTTCAGGAATGTGAATTACAGCACTACACCTCTGTTACCTTTCCGGCTATTGGAACAGGTTTGTCTCTTCTTTTTGAACTGGTTCACTACATGCAATTCTGCAGATCTCAGAGCTGAAACAATTCATTTGTCTGGAAGGGTAGTTCTTTAATGAAAATATATTCAGAAACTGCAAACTTCAAAACTGTCACTGGAAACTTACGAAGAGACTGGAAAGCTTCATCTTTGCAGTTAGATAGTAGGTAATGAGTATAAGTGCTCTAAAGCTGACTCTTTCTTGATAACAGGGGTTCAAATTTATTTATAATATATGCATATGTTTATGGAGAAACATAAATATTTGTTACCACAGCATGGTATGTGAAGCAACTCATTGTTTAAACCCAGGGAGCTAATTCTCTGTTGCTAAAATTAGTAGATGATGGAATTCTATCTAGCAGAAACACAAGTGGGTTTGACATGGATGGAATGTGAACACGTCAAAAATGTCAGATTAGCCATTTTTGCTTCCATGTTTTTCATTAGATCAGCAAAATTCCTTATACTAAGAGAATTCAGATTTAGAGTTTCAACGTGAAGAAACCTCTTATGTAAATAAAACTAGAGTTGTTTTAGGAGTAAAGAGCTCCCTAGTGGCCTATTGAGAGCCAGTCCTGTGGCTTGTAGGTACCCAGGCCATATTATCAATGTCATTACCTTATCAATTGCTGTGTCAGCAAGAGTAAGCTTCCATTTCTAAATTGCCAACCTGAAGTTAGTTGAGTCATTTGTGACCCTTGTGATTACGGGAATCATAACTATTCTGTTAAAGCTGTTATAATCCTTGTCAAGGCTAACTATCTGTAACTTGTTCCAGGTCAGGCAGGCCGTTTTCCAGAGGCAGTAGCTGATGAGATGATGGATGCAATAACTGACTTTGCAAGGAGGAACTCTACTCCATCTGTGAAAACTATTAAAATCGTCATTTTTCAGTCATATCTGCTGAACGTGTTCCACACAAGCATGAAAAAAAGAGAAAATCCTGGTAAAACAAAATCAAAATCATTTCTTTCCAGGATGGCATGTAAGTAGATACCACTTTTAAATAGGGGCAGTAAATCAGTCCAGTTTATATTGTATGTTCTCAGCTAGTGCTACTTACAGCATTTGTGTCTCTCATTGTAGCATACCTGATCCCTGAGAAACATCCTCCAAAGGAAAAACGCAAAGCAGTTTTGGAAAATAAAGTTGATCAGGCTGTTGTTCAGATTTGCGGTGAAAATGAGAAACAAGTGGAAGAAGCAGAAACCTTGCTGAAAAGTACAATTCTGAAGGAACAGTTTCAAAGAGAAATCAAGGATGATTCCATCTTGGATTTTGATGAGGCAGAGAATGAGGAACTGCGTGACCTACAAAAGAGATTAAATATTGCTCTGTTCTTGGGAGACAACTTTATTCGAATTACAGGATTTAGCCAAGATGTCTGGTTTGCTTACTCAAGTATCCAAGAAATGATCCACAAGGTTAAAACCGCTAAATACGAAGCGATCAAGGCAGAACTTTATCAAAACTTAATTGAGTGGAAATATTTGGAAAAAGATTCCTATGTGTCCTTTGACAGTATGACAAATATGTGCTTGGAAAATGCTTTTATAAGAAAGCAGAAAGATGTTTCAGTCGTCATTAATAGGAAAAAGTACATGGTGAATATAGAAGGTAGATATGCTACAGATGGGGAAGGACAACGTATAACACTGACACGTACTGATAAATCTGCAGGTTAGTAAAAGCGTCTTGATGAGTTGGGTTGATATTCACACACAAAGCAAGGTTGCATCTAGCTGAGTCAGAGTAAGAAATAGGAAGAATCTGTAGAATATTGTGAGATGCTTTTTGTCCATTTCTGGAGAAGGTGTTAGAGTGGGTAATGACAATAAAAGAATTGTGCAGTTATTTAAAACTGTTGGAAATATAGATAACATATTCAGAGGTTCTTAACAGGCTTGCTAGCAGTGATTAGATGTGCTTGTAGCAGTTGTCATTCTAAATCATTTGTATTCTCAAGACGGCCCCTCTTCTATTTATTTCAGTGATTTCCATCACAAAGAGCTATTTCTCCTGTCTTTATAGGACTCTTCCTGGTGGATTACTTTTCTTCACTCTGCTGTCATCCAGTTGTACAGGGGCTCATTTTATGTTTTAATGGGATCAATTTATTTTCCATTTAACACTTGGAAACAGAAGTCAACAGATTTAAGTAGTTGTGCACCTCTCAGTGCCTCACATATTCTGTTTATTTTTGCTTTATTACCAAAAAAGATGTTGCTTTTGAGAAGATGACACCATCTTGATTTGACGGAACCTAACATGCTAGATGTGCTTAGTGAATGTGTCAGCCATTGTCAGTGTTCAACAACAGAGCTCAATATGAAATAAGAGGAAGGAACACCTCTGCTTTTCATGCGAAGAGTACATTATTGGAGCTCCAAACTTCATCTTCCTTTTTCAGATCCTTTGCTCCTAGTTGTTCAGAATTAAGTGTCTGTCCCCTCTCCAGTGTGGGAAGAAGACAATTGAAGACATTGCTCCTTCTTCAGTGGTGAAGGAGAACAGATTTGTCTAGGAGCTACCCGTTCCAGGACATCAGTTGTCAGTGCAATGACATAAAAACTAAAGCATCTTCTGGGTTTTGTTTGGATCGTTGGTTGGTTTTGTTTCTTTGTTTTTAAAAGATAGACTCTTGGCTGACAGTAAATGAACAGGCAGTAATGATAAGCTATAATAAGTATAGGCTTTCAGAGGAGTTTGTAGCAGGGCATATTTCACTTTAAGCTGTGGATTTGGGTAAATGATTGGTGTGCTTCTTCTGCAGATCAGGAATCAACAGCACTCCCCGAAAAATGGGAAGATATGCAAAATCAGCAGCTCAGAATAGTGGAATTGAAACCAGATACAAAAGACTACAAACACGTGAAGGAAAGGTTTCTGACGACCGCTCCATCACTAAATCTGAAAATTGAAAAGGTAAAAGCATGTAATGATTTCTAAGCATAAATACTGCTAATGAATAATGACTAGTAAACAGTGGAAAAAATAAATTCCATCGGAATGTATTGAACAAGTCTTTACAGCAAAAGAAAGGGACACAGTTTTTATCTGCTTTCCTAATTGACTTAAAGAGTGTGTATGTGTGTGTATTTAAGTAATTGTCTGAAAAGGTTGCACACAACCATCAATAACCACACAGTTGTTCAGTGCCTGTGATCCTTATGAACTTCAAACCTGGTGTAAAATATCTCTGCTCCCATTAAGAAACGACTTATGAAATCAAGTTTTATGATGCTGAGAAAATGCAGAATATGGCAATTGTAGTTAAAGTGCCAATGTGTATTGTCTCTATTCATGTAGCTACTATGCATTCTTCTCTTCTGCTTATTAACAGAATGGCTTTGGTTGGAAAGGGCATGTAAGACCATTTAGTTCCAACCCCTCTGCAGTGGGAAGGGCCACAGAATCAGATACTGGATCAGATAGCAAAACTCAGCAAGCAGAGGGGATTCAATATCCAGAAACAAATGTAAAACAACTTGCCAGTGAAGGTTGATACTACTAATGTCTTCATGAATATTTGTTGTTACAGATCTATGAACTGCTCACTTCTGGCAGAGTAGAAGCATATACCAGATTGCTTGCTAACATGTTAGTCCTCAATGGGGTAGCTCTGATTTGAGCTGATTTGGTTATATGTAGCCAGTTTTGATGTCATCTAGTTCCCCACTAAATTTTTCAGGCTGAAGCTGTGAGTTTCAAGCGTTATCTACTCCTGCAGTGACAGGGGACTAAGTACATCTGCGTGTAAGTGTCTCTTCTGCAGAGCAGCCAACTGCTCAACCGACAAGTTGCATGGGAAATTACTTAGGATGTTCCCCCAAAGAGCAGGAGATTAGTAACAGCAGTATCATCTGATTAACTGATTTAAATGAGCGTTGGTTTGATGTTGCAGTTGAGGTATTTGGTACAAGTCTTCTAAAGCACCTGGTGAGCATGCTCTTTTCTTCAGTAGAGCAGAACACTTTTTGCCTTAAGCCATGTGTGCTCAGCAAGCAGATGTTTTGTGCCTGACCCAGAAGCCTGCAAGACTATCTTGTATAGTTTCCTATGGATTGTTTCTCTTGCATTCTGGGTTGGGTTCTGCTGTTTGCCGTGCTGAAGTCTGGAGCCACGTGCCCAAGGTGTTTTATAATCTAGTATCCATGTGTTGTAGCTGGGAGGAGAATCTTGGAGCACTGAGTGGTTGATACACTGATGTTTTTCATAACAAGAAAAAATGAATGTCTTCTGTTCAAACTTTGCAGATTGAAAGGGTACAGAACCCATCTTTGTGGAAAGTCTACCAAATAAAAAAGTGTCAAATGGATGACAAAAATGGCAACAACAATAATGAGAAGTTTCTGTTCCATGGGACTAGTGCAGAGTCGTTAACCTTCATTAACAACTATGGATTTAACCGCAGCTATGCTGGAAGGCACGGTAATGTGAATTTCAGAACTACTCGTTTTCCTGGATAGGGCTAGGAATAATTTGCCACGCTACCCGTGTAGTGCTGACATGTATGCAAAAGTGTTTGATTTCTTAAATCTCTCTGTTGCAAATAGAAAACAAAATTGCCACCTTCAGAGCTTGTGGATATCTTCAGAGTGGTTGCTATTAATTTCTTTTTGTTTGTTTTTGGTCTACAGCTGCGCAGTTTGGAAATGGAACTTACTTTGCTGTTAATGCCAGCTATTCTGCCAGTGACACCTACTCAAAACCAGATGCAAATGGGAAGAAGCACATGTACCTGGCTCGAGTCCTTGTTGGACAGTATTCCCAGGGGACACAAGGAGCAATTACTCCAGCAGCAAAGAGTGTTGGCAACAGTGTGGATCTGTTTGACAGTTCAACCGATAATGTGAACAATCCGTCCATGTTTATCATATTTAGTGATATTCAAGCTTACCCGGAGTACCTTATCACTTTCACTAGATGAGCCTTTTGATTGCAGCCATGATTGCATGTCTCTTAGCTTTTATTTTATAAATCAGTCCTACAGATCAACCAAATCACGCAGTGAGAACTGTTTGTAGTTTTGTCAAATTAATTTCTAAGGCCTGTTTACGTTTAAGCGGCCTCTGGTTCTTTTTGATATCGTGAGCATAGACTAACATTTTTCCTCTCAGAGTAGTAGCTGAACGCATTTAAGACAAGTTTAATCTGGCGTGTAATCTAACAGCAGTTTTCAGTAGATGTCCCACGCCTCCCCTGTCGTGATCCTCCACGCTGTATTCTGGCCATCCTAGCTGCAGCAGTGTTGGTGGGGGAGAGTGGAAGACTGAGTGCTTGGTCTCACACTTCTGAAAGAGTGAGAAGCTGTCGTCAACCGTGATGCAGACTGCCGTGCACAGTTCTCAATAAATGAACTATCTGTACTTAATGGCCCGCGTTTGTCTGACATGATCTCCGGACGTTTAGCGTTTGTTTTCAACGGGTCAGTTGCTGAGTGCTTGGAGACTGACCTCTCTAATGTGGATTTACTTGCTTTTAATACAAGAGGTAGGTCAGTAAGAGGTTCTGTCGATGTGACCTAACTTGCTACCAGCATTTAATGCCCGAGTTATACCTAGGTATAGCCTAAGAGAGCGCCAGGGAAGTGAAAGTTGGGAAGGTGTTTCCGTTGTTATGCACCAGCTGTAGTGTCCTTCCTCTGATCTTAAGCAGGAAAGAACAGGGCAAAGGTGTGTTTTTGTGGGTGTTTTTTTTTT